CCAGCAGTGTATGGGCATTCCAATGTTTCCACATCCTCGCCAGCATTTATTTTCAGTCTTGTTGAACTTTGCTCTTAATGCTGGGGTGAGATGGTATCTTTTGGTTGTTTTGATTTGCATCTCTCTAATGGCTAGTGATCGTGAACATTTCTTCATGTGTTTGTTGGCTGCTTGAATATCTTCTTTGATGAAATGTCTGTTCATGTCTTCTGCCCATTTTTTAATTGGAATTTTTTGTCTTTTTGATGTTGAGGTGTTGGAGTTTTCTGTGAATTTTAGAGATAAGTCCTGTGTCTGATGTCATTCCCAAATATTTTTTCCCATTGTGTAGGTTCTCTTTTTACTCTTTTGGAGAAGTCTTGTTGCACATAAGAATTTAATTTTCAGAAGGTCCCAATCATCTAGTTTATCTTCTGTTGCTCACTTTTTAACATTTTAAAGAGGTCTTTTGCAACAGTTTGCACAGTGCAATAGATTGCTTAATTTCTTGACTACTCCTTCCATGGACGTTGATTATGGAGCCAAGTAAAATGAAATCCTTGACAACTTCAGTATTTTCTTCATTTATCATGAAGTTGCGTATTGGTGCAGTTGTGAGGATTTTCATTTTCTTTATGTTGAGGTGTAATCCATACTGAAAGCTGTAGTCTTTGATTTTCATCACTAAGTGCTTAAAGTCCTCTTCACTTTCAGCAAGCAGGTTTTGTCATCTGCATATCACAGGTTAATGAGTCTTCCTTCAGTCCTGATGCCACATACTTCTTCACATAGTCCAGCTTCTCATATTATTTGCTCTGCATATGGATTGAATGACTGTGGTGGAAGGGTACAGCCCTGAGGCACACCTGTCCTGCTTTAAAATCATGCTGTTTCCCCTTGTTCTGTTTGAATGACTGCATCTTTTTCTCTCTGTACAGGTTCTTCATGAGCCCAGTTAAGTGCTCAGAAATTCCCTTTTTTTTTTTTGCAAATGTTATCCATAATTTATTATGATCTACACAATTTAATGCCTTTGCATAGTCAATAAAACACAGGTAAACATCTTTCTGGTATTCTCTGCTTTCAGCCAAGATCCATCTGACATCAGCAATGTCTCTGGTTCCCCATTTTTTTCTAAATCCTGCTTGAATTTCTGGCAGTTCCATCTGTGTACTGCTGCAATGTTTGTGAATTAGCTTCAGCAAAATTTTACTTATGTAATATTAATGATAATGCTTGATAATTTCTACATAGAAATATATAGGATAATTTCTCCTATATAAATACCAGTTGGAAATCAGGGTATTGAGAGAGTTGTATATTCTATACAGTTTTTGTGGTATTAAAATAAGGACTTAAAAAAAAAAAAAAACACCACCCTAATAAGCATTCTGCCAAGAAACTGTTGACTAGGAAAATGTTCTGATGGTAATCCTCTACAGGTCTCTAGATACAGGGTCTTTAAGTATCTGGTCTATTTCTTTTGTCCTTTTTTTTTAATCCTTTGGCGTCTGTGAAGGCTGTGTCTAATACCCTTGTTCTTCGCCACTGTGGAGTTGACTCATAGCAACTCCATGCACAATAGGATCAAACTGTTGTGTTCCATAGGATTTTCATTGGCTGATTTTCTTCTAGTCCCTCTTAGTCTGGAAGTCTGCTAAAACCTGTCTTATGATATGAAGTATTGCAGAAGAAAAGCTGATATTTTCTTTCCTTTCTAAGTAAATTTTGGGAGGACAGGAGTAGAGAAGTGGATGTCCAAAGCATTTTTTTAAAGCTCCCTAATTTTATCAGAACATATTTCTTTGCTTGTATCCCACGTACATGGTATGCTGTTCGAGTTATGTAGTGCCGCTCTGACAGAAATATACCACAAATGGGATGGCCGTAACAGGAGTTTATTCTTACAATTTGGAGGCTTTAAGTCCAAGCTCAAAGTGCCAGGCTCTAGGCACTGGGTGAAAACCCCTCAACCTTGGGGTTCAACTCTGCCTCCTGTTCCCAGCCCACTGGAGCTGGAGGCGTTTTTTCACTCAGACAGCTGCTGGCTGCTGAGGCTGAGAAGCCCCAAGGTTGACAAGTAAAAAGGCACAGTCCCAGTGTTACCAAACCACACTGCAGGCCATTAATTTAAGTCCATTCTAAGTCCCAAGGTCGGCAGAGCATAGCAGGTTGCTGAGCAGCGACATGACTACATGCAGGGTCCAGGCGTGCCATAAACTAGAGACCATCCCCAAGGCTTCTCCTTATATACAGGAAGCAGACCACATCCCAAAGGCAGATCCTCAGCTGCTTGTAGTAGATCCCACCATGGAGCTGACTGCCAGTCTCATCATGGGGAATATTACCACGAGCTGCCCAGCCATTCAACCAGGCCCAGCCAAGTTGACCCACAAACATAACCACTACATATGCCTTTCAGTATGCTGGATCTTTCTGTCTGTCTCCTTTAGTTATATTATTCTCTTAAATCCTTTTTATTTCTGTTTGATATTTTTCCCATTTCCTTCCTTCCTGTTCTCTATTGCATGGGATGTTTCTTTGTGTTTGTGTTCTTTCTAGCTTCCTCTTTATTTCTGAAATAAATTTTTCTAAAGTTCTTTTTTGAGCTCTGTCAGCTCTCTTTTCACATCCTCCTGATGTTTAGTCATCTCGACTTTTGACTCTTCTATTTCTGATATATAATGACTTTTATAATATAAGTTTCTACAGTTTCCTTAATGACTTTTATCTCATTTTAGAATATTAGATTACAATTTTTTATCTACCTTATGGACATTACTTTATTGTGCGCCATCTTTTCAGGTTCAGTTTCCTTTAGAATCTGTGTAGGGTTCATTTTCAATCCATTCTGTTATTCATGTTTGAGTGAGGTGGACTTCAGTGTACTCTCATCAGTTTGTTGTTGTTGTTGTTATGTGCCATCAAAGTAGATTGCCCAACCTTCCTTCCGAGGAGTGCCTGGTGGGTTTGAACTGCCAGCCTTCTGGTTAGCAGTCAAATGCTTTAGGCACTATGCTACCAGTGCTCCCTTTCATCAATTAGTAATTTATAAAGAGTGAGCTTTCTTAGTGTCATTGTCCTTTCTTTGTTGTTATCTTGAAGTGCTCACAAAACATGGCTTCTCTGTGTAGCCCCTACCCCACTTCTGAGATTTGCATCTCCAGGTTTCACCGTCTTGACCACATGTTCTTGCTGTGTTCATTGTTGACTCTGTTCCCAGCAGTTGTTTTGTTGTTGTTGTTGTTGTCTTCAGTAGTTCTCTGTCCTTCTGGAAAGGAGTTTTGTGGGGAGTTTCTAGGATCTTTGAGGGGTTAAGCCATTGCAGTCCTATTCTCCCACTTTTCCTGATGGTTCTTAGTTCTACTAACTGAGAATTCCATCAGGGTGGGGCCTTCTCCTCTTGGAGAATGATTGTTGTTGATTCTGGGAATGTGAGTTCTGATTTTAGTGGTGCTTCCACTTACAGTCGGGTTTGTAGTTAGACCTCGTTTCCTACTTCCTTTGTTGAAGATGTTGGCGGTGGGGTTTGTAGTTAGACCTCGTTTCCTACTTCTTTGTTGAAGATGGTGGTGGGGTTTGTAGTTAGACCTCGTTTCCTACTTCCTTTGTTGAAGATGTTGGCTGTGGGGTTTGTCGTTAGACCTCGTTTCCTACTTCCTTTGTTGAAGATGTTGGCTGTGGGGTTTTACCTTCGCTATTTAGTAGCTCTTCCTCTTTTTATAAGGAATTTTGTTCAGATTTTAAAATACACAATACTGTGATAGTTTAGCCTATTTGATGACCCAACCGAGGTGGAGTCATTTAACTCCAAGCAGGCTGTTCTGTGTCTCTGCTGGTTATGGAGACTTGCTGATAGTCATGATATGGTTCCAGAAGGACTATTAGGCAAATATCTGAAACCAAAGGAGCTCTGGTAGCACAGTGCCTAAGGCACTGGACTGCTAATCAGAGGGCTGGCGGTTCAAACCCGTGGGGTCCCACTCGAGGGCACCTAACAACAACATCTGAAAGAAAATCCTGAGGCTAAAGACATTACCCTTATTCTTGTTTCATTTACTTAAGCCTTCAGCTTGCCTGCCACTTTCTTCTTCCTGTGCCTCTCTCTTATCGTAAGAGTTAAATAGCTCAGTTGTATATATATATATATATATATATATATATATATATATATGTATGTATATGTATGTGTGTGTGTGTATCCCTAACATTAACAAAAGGAAATAAATTCTTCTACTCATTGGTATATAGACTGACACCAGTCATGCAGGGAGGTGAGAGGAGCCCAAAACAGTTTTCCAGCTGTGGACTATTGATGGTTGCATGCACACGAATGAGTCAGGGGCCAGAGTTCAGAAGTCTCCATCACTCTATGTAAAGGGTATGCGTGAAAGATGCTACAACTGTCAGAGCTGGATATCCTGATTTATTAGAAAGAGGTCACGTGCATTCTTGATGATGTAATAAATTAATAACTTTTATTTACTTGGCTAATTGCATCATAAATTTTGATATGAAATGAAGTGCAAACCCCACTCTAAAATATATTTCAGATAAGTCAGGTTGGAAACAGAATGTATGCCCCTTGTATTTGAATTAAGTTATCTCTATCTAATTCATTTCAATAAACCAAAGCTAGAGCGTAGGACATTTTTAGGGCAATGAAACTATTCTATATGATATTGTAATGGTGAACACAAGATGATAGGAATTTGTTAATAATACCCATAGGACTACAAAACACAATAATTGAATCCTAATGTAAACTATGGACTTTATTAATAATAACATATTTTGTTAATAGTACTTTAATTATAATTAATAACAACATACCAATATTATTGTTTATAACAAGTATGCCATATTGTTAATAGAAACAGTGTGCAAGGGGCAAAGGACATGTGGGAATTCTCTGTGCTTTCTGCACAATTTTTAAACACATAGATGCTCTAAATAATAAAGTCTATTTTTAAAAAAGAAAAGAAACCAAAGCCACTTTTGACGTCTGTCACCAAACCTACCTTGATAGGCCTTTCCAGTTCTTTCCTCGTAAACCTCATCACAACGAGTCCTAGAATCGTCATGCCGTAGAACAGCCATGCAGCAAAACTGAAGTAATTGACTAATGAGTTAATGTCACCAGGGATGATATAAATGGTAGCTATGGTACCCTGATAGAAAGAAGAATGAATGTTTAGCTGCTTGGTACATAAAATATTAACTTTATCACCTCATAGAAGACCATAGAAGCACTTTTTACCATGAAGAAACCCTTTATCATGAAAGAAACTTCATACCTACTCCTTTATACTTGAGGTTAAACTAGACTTTGGCCATGATAGGTGTTCACTTTGAAGACTGACAGAAAGGACTTGGAAATCTTGTGAATCTTTCATGTTGTAATTTTAAGCAGGGGAAGAAAAATGTGTGTATGTGTGTATAGTGAATATCAGCAACTTCCTAATGATTTTTTCTTCCAGAGTTTTCACCACAGGAAAGGGCTCTGGTCTGTGAAACTCGGGGGCAGGCTGTCTAGATCTGGTCTGACCTGCACTAGTTACGTGACCTGGACAGATAATTCCACTCTCCACGTCTGTGTCCTCATCTTCAAGTGGAACAGGCTGACACAGTAATAGTTCTCCTCTGGGTGGTGCTGGCACTTAGTTACCAGAGACTGGGGATGTGGCTAGTCCCTCAGTGCCCAGGACATTTGCACACAGCCAAGGACTATCCTCCCCTGAGAGACTCCTGTTAGAAGCTGTCAGAAGGCCTTTACTGCACAAGGAGCCAAAGACATCTAAATCATTGGACCGTAATGGGATGCTGCTGTCAGTACCCACCTTGTAAAATGCCATATTCTCCTTCTAGCTCTTAAGCGAGCAGGTTTGTATAGTTTGTCATCAGAGACAACAAATGTACATGTAAGAAATACAAAGTACAACCTTGGAAGAGTCAGTGTTGTTCACAGATACTTTCAGAACAAGGAAGCAGAGGCCAGGTGAATTGTTGAATTGTCTTAGACTTTTGTACATCCCTGTTTCTACCTTGTAAAGGAGTCTTGGTGGTGCTGTGGCTAAAGTGCTCAGCTGCTAACCGAAATGTCAGCAGTTCAAACTCACCAGCCGCTCTGCAGGAGAAAGATGTGACAATCTGCTTCTGTAAACATTTGCAGCCTTGGAAACCCTATTGGGCAGCTCTGCTCTGTCCTATATGGTGGCTATGAGTTGTTATTGGCTCTATAGCTGTGGGTTTGGTTTGATAGGTTTCACCTTGGAGAGTAAGGGACCCTTATTTGCGTCCCTCGATTATTTGAAAACCACTATGCTTCCATGGGAGCTCTGGTAGCATAGTGGCTAAGACACTTGCCTGCTAACCAGACGGCTGGCGGTTCAAACCCACCAGCTACTCCTCGGAAGGAAGGTTGGGCAATCCTACTTCCGTAGTGATAACTGCCTCGGAAACCCAAGGAGGGGTCGCTATGAGTCGGGGCCGACTCCACGGCACATAACAACAACAACAATGCTTCCATAGTGAAACTGCCTCGGAAACCCAAGGAGGGGTCGCTATGAGTTGGGTTTGACTCGACGGCACATAACAACAACAACAACATGCTTAGCAATATGAGTCTATTGTAACCTTTCAAACTAAGGGACCCCTTTGCTTTTAGGGAGAGTGTTTTCATAAGGGAATTCATACTTACATGAAAGATGATGGCAGGGGCTGGAGTTAGGCGCTTGACACTAATGTAAGAGAGCACTTTTAGCATGTGGCCTTCTCGGCCTGCAACATAAATGAGTCTGAAAAAGAAGGAAAGTGGAAGTTAGGTGTGTGAGCTTGATCATCTCCAGGTGAGAGTTTGGCCTCTGGAAGTGAGTTGGTGGGTGCTGGAGAAGTGAAGTGAGGAGTTAAATGCATCTGAAAGGAATGTATCTTGATGCAGTGAAGTCACCAAAGCCAGGAAAGAGTGGGAATGGTTTGAGGTGGTCTTTTCATGCAGTAGATACCAATCTGAGTCCTAAAAGTTAGGCAAGAAAAAGTGAAAATTAGTCCAGGGCCAGTGTTAGTGGCACCTGGCAGCAAAGCAGAAGTACCTTGCACTTCCAAAATCAAACTACACAGAATTTCCATATTAACAACAACAAAAAAAAAAAAAAAAAAAAATTAAGGGTGTGTCAGCAGCTATAGGTGGCGTAGTTCTTCCTCAGAACAAGTAATTCAGCATCTTAAAGACTATGTTCAAAATGCTGAAGAGAGAAGAACAAAGAGCTAAACAATTCCTTTAAAAAAAAAAAAAAGTTTCTGCAATTAAAATTTTAATACATAGACATAAGTAAAAATTTTGGAAGTGCAGAAGTGGGAAATTAAGAAATGGAGAAAGGGAAATATATCAAATGGAGCAGAGGGCTTTACAGGATTGAAACACATTCTGAGCCTTCACATTGAACCCAGTTCTACACAAAATCAACAAAAACAAACCCAGATATAAACATAGTGGAAGAAAAATGAGATTTTTTTTTTTGCTTACTGTATTTGCATGAAAGTTTACATACTGGTTTTCCATTCAATGATTCATACACATTTTTTTGTGACATTCCCCACAATGTAACAGCACTCTTCCCACTTCCTTCCTGTGTTTACCATTTCCCTTCATCCTTCCCTACCCCTTTCTGCCTTCTTAGTTTTATCCCTGGGCAAATGTTCCCCTTTTTATCTCGTATGGTTGATGGTTCTAATGAGTACGTACCTTCCTGGTATTACTGTTCACCTATCATTTGGCTGAAGGTTGAGCCACAGGCATGAGTTCAGTTCCAGGCTTGAAGGCTTCTGAGGACCATGGTGTTGGAGATTCCACCAGTCTCTGTCAGACCAATAAGCCTGTTTTTTTTTTTTTTTTTTAATTTTGAGTTTTGTTCCACATTTTTCTCCCACTCTATCCAGAACTTCCTATTGAAGAGCAGTCAGAAGTGGTATCCAGTGATCATCTAGTTCTTCTGCTCTCAGGGCCTTGGGAGGCTGGGGTTCACATGGTGCATTAGCCCTTTGGACTAATTGTTTCCTTATATCTTTGTTTTCTTCACTCTTCTTTGCTCCAAATTGGGAGAGACCAATAGTTGCACCTTAAATGGCCACTCACAAGCTTTTAAGATCCCAGTTGCTACTCACCAAAGGAGGATATTGTCTTTGTGGACTATGTTATGCCAGTTGACCTTACTATGCCCCAAGACTAGGGTCTTGAGCCTCCAGGCACAGTGATTCATTCCCTCAAGGTGTTTGGTTATGGCCAAGGAAGTTTCATAACCTTGCTCCTTGTGTGCTGTGCTATATTCATGGATATATTTGCAGCACATATAAACACATATGTAGAAATACCTCTGTAGTCCCATTCACCTTCTTATCCCTGTTCAGCTTGAGTGTCTGTCTATGTATCCACTTACAGGTTATTGTCATTACTCTTACTGCAGGATTGTGTATATAATAGTATTTACCTTTGTTGCTTTTAACTCTGGTGATCCTTGTCTTCCTCTGCATTCATCATTTTGTGCTCTCCTCCCCCTTACTATATATTGCGTTTCTCTTCACCCAAGTTAATACATGTCTACCCTCTAGTTAGTGAAAAAAATCAGAAAATCTTAAGGACTACTGAAATCAGAAAATTAACAACAGAATTGAGCCAATGAGAAAAACAGCAGATGTGTCATGAGAAATAATATGTTCAAAGTGATGAGAATAACTGATTTTCAGATTCAAATCCAAGGTGGCTAAACGTCATTCAAGACTACAAGCAAAATAAATTTTCAGATAAACAGTGAGTGTGAAACATTCACTATGCAATCTCATTGAACACTATCGAAGATTCTGGTCTAGCAGACAATGAAACTGAACTCAGAAGGGGCTAATTACAAGAAGCAGTGACAAGGGAAAAGCAGTGAGACATGGTGGTGGTGTATATAAAAACGGGAGGATTTTTATTTATTTATTTATTTATTTTTGGGTAATGACAAGCTTTTTTTTTGGCTGGGTAGATTTATAAACAAGAAAACCAAACCCACTGCCATCAAGTAAATTCTGATTCATAGTGACCCCCATTGGGTTTCCAAGGCTGTAAATCTTTATGGAAGTAGATTGCCTCATCTTCCTCCTGTGGAGCAGCTCATGGGGTTTGAACTGCTGATATTCTGGATAGCAGCCAAATATCTTACCCACTATGTCACCAGAGTTCACTACTAATATACTAGACAATATGAAAAAGGAGAGCCCTTCCAAGAGATGGAGGAGCTATTCATGTGAAATTTTAAGAGCATCACTAATAAAAATAGAAATACAATTTCCATATCAGTAGAAGAAGAAAGGAAATAAAGAAAAGTTGATGAATATAAGAAATCAGGATAAAAAGCCTGTAAAATTTTTAAAAAGCCAATAAATCACAAAGTAATATGTTAGAAATGAATGCAACTCTACCATTAATCACACTTAAAGTGACCACATTAAACTTGTCCAACTAGAGACCCTTGGGTTGTATTTGTTCACACAAGCCAAATGTTCAAAGAGACAAAAGCCAAAACCCAATGACACTGAAAAGTTGAACAGAAAAGTGATGGGACTTATTATCAAAAATAGCAGACTAAAACTGATCTACCAATATCAATTTCAGACAAAATAGGGTGGAAGGCAAAAAGAGGGAGAGTTCTTATTGAAAAACAGTCCACTAAGAAGATACCAAAAAAAAAAAAAAAAAGCACCTTTGAAACAAAGAAGGCAGAAACTGACCCAAATCTCCTAGAATCAAAGATTGAGTAGTACAAGCTTGGTGATATAAAAATCCAGAAGCAATTATAAAATACATACTATTTTCAAGCCCATATGAAACATTTATAAATATCCTAATTAGCCAAAAAAGATTCTTAAAAATTCCAAAGATTTGGAATCATAAAGATCACATACTCTTGACTACAGTGCAATAAAATTATAAGTCAGGATTACAACGGCCCAAAAGCTCCATCTATTTAGAATTAAATATTTGAAGTTTAAGATGGCATAAACATGCTGTTAATTCTCAGAATAAGTCAGTGAAGCTGGGGGAAAGGAAGATAATTGTGCAGGGGGACTTAGACACTAGATGATGCTGTGAATTCACTCTTTAAATACCATCAATTCTCTACAAATTAGAACTGCAATAATTCAAGCAGACTTCTGGAACTTAAATTTATTGTAATTGCATCTGGAATGCTGAATATGTAAGGAAAAGTCTAACATAGCAGCTCTAGTCCTACCAGATTTTAAATTATTGAGGAAGTTTTAATAAGTATGATAATGGCACAGGAAGAGACATCAGCGAAACAAAGCAGGTGGATATGAGAGTGATGACATTCAAACCAATGGGAAAGAATGGATTCTTCAATAAGTAGTACTGGGACAACAGACAGACATTTGGAAAAAGGGAAAGTGATATGCCTCATATCAAAATACATTCTAGATTGACACTAGAAAGAAACATAAGTAACTATATCATCTTGAAAGGGAAGAAGATTTGTCTTAGGTGAACTAGAAAATTAAGAAACCAATCAGGAAAAATCTTATATTTGACTCCCATAAAAATTATATACAATATAATTCACTGTAGTATAAATTCCTGGCTAACCCCAAATTGCACAAGTATGGAAATACATAAACACTCAAAACAGATCATATCCCCAACTCTAAGAGCTACATCTATGAAACTCCTAGGAGAAAGTAGAATCTTTGTGACTTTGAGTTGGGCACAGGTTCTTAGATTTGACAACAAAACCATGAATAAAAGGAGGCAAATTGGCAAGCTGAACTTTGTCAAAGTTCAAAACTTCGGTGCTTCAAAAGCACCATTAAGAAGATGAAAAGAGGAGTCTGGGAAGATGGCAGCATAAACAGGCCAGTGTTCCAACCCTCTCCACACAGCAAGAAATGCAACGAGGAAAAGGCATTTGACTTTGAAGGATTCCGAACTGGGGAGTGGAGGAAAGCAGCAGGGACTGCAGGCAGGAAAGGATCACGGAATCAACAAGGAGTCTCATGTGGTAAGAAAATCACTTCTCTCACTGCCCCTCCCCCCAGAAAGGGGGCCACTGGCTGCTGTTAACTGGGGTAGTGGCCCCAGAAAAAGAGACTAGTCACCAAAGCCCCTGCCTACAAAGAGAGGGGACCCCAAGCTTCTGCCCTAAAATCAACAAGGTAGAATTCCCCAGGAGTCTATTTGGAGCATAATAGCCCCTCTCCCACTATCGCACTAAGACACTGTGGCAGGCAAACCTGTGGTGAGTTGCTACAGTAGAGTCTACTCGCATAGTCAGCACTCTGCCTGCCTCCCTGCATATTCCGTAGCTCTAGTCTCTGAAATCAGTAGGACAAACCTCCCTAGGGGTCAGTTAGGGATAGTGTACCCTTACTTGCAATTGGTGCTGAGGACTAGAGAGGGAGGCTGCTGTGCGTTAGGAAACAGGAGTTTTCAGTGAAGGCTGCATGCAGTCAACTATTTGTCAGGGGACTCTGATAGCAACGATGCAGACCTCAGTAGGACCAGAGTGTAACAGCCTCACCCCCACCTGGTAATTGTTGGTTGCCAGGCTGTTACAAAGTGTTACAGAAGGCCTCCACAGTGGAGTCTCTTCCCATTATCAGTGCTCTCCCCACCTCTTTGTTAATGCCATAGCCCAGGCTTCTGAAACCAACCGGATAGACCTCCCTGGGGGGGCAGTTGAGGTCTGCCCACTCCCCCTTCTGGTTCCTGCTGAAGACAGCTGACTGAGCCTGTTATGTTCTAGAA